TTTTACCCAGAGAGAATTACATTTTTGGGAAAAATGCTTAATGAATTAGCTTGCATTTACAATAACTAATTTTAATGAACTACTTAAACAAAGAATATAGATGTCCTTACTAGTTATATAACTAAAATTTTTCAAGGTGATTAAGTTCTAAGTCATTTTTTGAAATCAAAATATCACACACATATAATGCATATTTAATTTGTGCTACCTATCTACAAATGGCTTAATAGTTAAGATTATGTGAGTGGTTTCTTTTCTTTTGAGGGTTAGATAGATGGGAAACATCTTGTCTTATTCTAGCAAAATTCTTACCTGGTTATTGAGGAAAAAGAATTATCAACTTCATTTGCTACGTGATATTTTATTATACACATGAATAAGTCAACTCCATGTAGAAACAGCTGTCAGTTTTTAGAGGAACACAAATAGTTTTGCTTCTAGATATATTTCTGTAACTAGCATGCATATGGGAAAAGATTTGAATCCTTATGAAAGTTTCTCAGTTTAGTTCAAAAGTTTCCTAGCAGATGTTGGAAACAAGCTTGCACAGTTTTAATTCCTAGAAGGCCTCTTCTTTTCTATTCATTTTAAAAATAAACATTCTTTCACTAAATGCCTTGATTACCTGCTTAGAAAGTCATGATTCATTCTGGACACAGCATGTATTCTTTGGAGACGCTGAGTAGGGTAGTAGAGAAAGCCCTTGATTCAGAGTCTGGTACATTTGGAATGCCAGCTCTGCCATATACTGTGTCACCTGTGACAAATTATTTAACTTAGACGCCCCAGTTTACCTATCTGTGCAATGCCTCAAACAGTTATTTGAGGGAGTGCCAGGTATTAAGTAGTCACTAAGGAAAAGTTTTTCTGTTCTTTCTTTCATTTTTCTTTAAAAAATTTCTCCTGATGGTTTAGAAGAAAACCAAAATACAGTCCCTCTGAAGCCAACAAGATAAACATTAAGTGTTTGATTAAAAGATTTCTTACACAAGATATTATGTAGTTTGGAAAGCACTTTTGGAAGATGTCAGTATACTACCATTAAATAATCAATAGCACAGGTTACAGAGATCAGCATATTCTCCTATTATATATAGGTAAGTACCTATCTTAAATATAAGTCTTGATTAGCTCACTTTCTTTTTTATCCTACTAATTTTTCCAGATGTCCACCTCTAGAGAAAGGACTTGGTAGGGCTGAGAGGAGCAAGAATAAAGGAAAAAGGTGAAAACTCTAGGAGAGTCAGAATCATGTGGGAAGAGGTTCCAATGCAGGAATGTGAAAGTTTAATGTACATCCACTCCTCATGAATCTGGTTAGGTACCAAAGCCCAGGTTGTTATGCAAAAATTGGTGTTATGTGAAAATGGAGGATGACCACATCAAATCACAAAATGGAGGATGACTACATTATTACATAACTGCCAAACTACATCAAAATTGACACCTAACCTTAATTGTCATAGCCAGTGTTACTCTCACCTTGTACCTTGGCTTCATTACTGTCGGATGTAGGTAGTTAATGCATAAAATAGATCACTACTGTAAATGTCAAATAATGAGATAGTTAATAAGTGAGGATAGGTGTATATTTTATACCCCCTTATAAAATGAAAACTTATTTTTTTCCTCTAATTTTCCCTTCCTTTATAAACAGAAAGGAGGAACTTATTCCTTTATCCACTCCAATTTTGATATTCCAAAATCTAGAGATTGTGTAATCTCCAATCTAGAGATTGTGTCTTCCCATATCTAGATCAAAGCACATGAATGTGTTATATAATGATATGTTGAACGAATAAAAGAATACATGACTATATTCCAGGTCTGGGATAATGTCCACATAATGATGAAAAAAAAGGGAGCTAACTTAATTCTAGGTCTGGGAGATCAAGAATCCATTTGGCAGATGGGATGGAGTAGGAATCACTGTCAGATGAAAGCAAAGAGTCAATGTTTAGATATGTAATTTGGATACTTAGTCCAAAAATACCAAAAACCAAAGTCAGATATCTGCAAAATCCAGGAGAATCAACTGACCATGAACTGAACTATGGCTCTGGCTTGAAATGTCTAACAAGGAACCTGCAGGCCTCCTGTGGGATCTACCTTGCTTTCTTTTTTTGCCTTGATTACCTGAGGCTCTTTTCAGACTCAGACCTGGCAACTCTTCCCTTGTTCTGTTTGTTGTTGTTGTTTTTTCCTTCCTCAACACTTTTTAAAATGTAAGGAATTTTAAGGATTTTTAGAAATTTTATGTCTCTTTACATGACAATATTGCATAAAAAAACTGAATATTTTTTTTTCCTCTTTTCCCCCCCTACTCTTTTTCTTTCTTTGTTTTGGTTTTCTGAGTCCTACATAACCCCCTCATTCTCTCCACTGCTTGTCCTTCTCTTTCTATATTTTAAGCTGAAACCACTTCATTGAGAATGTCTTCTCTAACATGCTCATTTCCTCCAGGGCCATATCTTCTTTTCTATACTTGTCCTCTTGGTTGCCACCCTTTTTGCTATCTCTGTCTTCAATCTTCTCCCACCTAGACTCTAAGAGCATTATTACCCAGAGTTCAAAAGACCTGGGTTCAACCCAGACTCTGACTTTTGCTGGCTTGTAACTTGGACAGTTCCTTCTTCTCTCTGAGCAACATTTTTGCTAGAATCTATCTCCTGAGGTTGTAATGAGGACCAGATATAGAAAAAAATAAGTGCTAGTGGTCTGTTTCATGGCATGTTGGAGTAAGGCAGAACTCAAGACATCTATATCCAATGAGCAGAGAAACTTCCAGCCCATTTCCATTGGAAAAATTGCATTGAAGGAATATCAAGGGCTCTGGTTCACTGAGCTGAACCAACTGAAGGTGGTGTCCAGTCGCTTAAGGATTGGACCACACTTACAAACCCATGTCCAGATAACTTGGTTTTCTCTTCCAAACGAACCTAAATTGACTGCTCTCTCTCACTAGTTTGAACTTCAGTGGATGCTGATCCATTGCGACCCCCTGAGGCCCAGGAGGGAAACCTGTCACGAGCTTCCAGTTAGGACACCGGTGAGTCCCTTTCTTTTGCTTCTGCTTAGCCCCACCTCTCTCCATCAACTCACTTTCCTTTTATAAAGAGTCCGGGACTTTGCTTTACCAACCAGACAGGTCTTAAAGAAGTATAGGGCCCATACACAGCCTGGAGAAAAGAAATCCCCTCCGGTGCTTGGTTTTCTTTTTGGTGGTTTATGATTGCCCCTCTTTGTCCTCTGACATCTCTGAAGCTGGGAGGGCAGCGAGAGGCTGCACTGGGGCGGCAGGTGGGTGGTGGGTGGGCGGCAGAGTAGGTCAGACACTTGAGGCCGCGAGGAAAGGGTTAAGAGAGACTGTTGTCATTCTATCCTTCCTCTACGGCCCTCAAGCTCTCCTCCAATCCCCAGGACCCTCTCCATGACCATTCATAAACGGGAGGAACCTGCGCCTCTCCGGCCGGCTGGGGCACCTGAGCAACCTTTTCTTTTCGGGGAGCTTTTTGCGGAGGGCAAAGTGTCACTCTATGAGTGCGGCTGGTCCGAAAGCCTAGTGGTGCGGTAGAGCGGGGCGGCGAAATTAGTATAGAGGGCTGCGGGCATGGCCTGGACAGCAAGCGACCGCGGAGCCCTGGGGCTGCGATTGTTGCTTCCCGCGCTCTGCCTGTGCGCGGCACAAGTAAGTGGTGCACGAGTTCGGGGGTGGGGGGCGCCTTCTCATCTAACCCCCATGTTTTCTTCTCCAGCCCAGACAGACCACCGAGTAGGTAAGCAGGGGCTAGAAGTGTTTGCATTTTTCATGAGCACACAAGGAAGGCAGGGACACAACCTTAGGTGAGCCGTGGGAAGCTGCGGAGCATTCCTAGGGCGTGGGCCTCGTGGTTTTTCCAGCCACGCGCACCTGTGGCGCCTGCAACTCGTGCAGGGGTCCTAAGTGGCCCCTTGCTCTGGGAAAGAGCGTCTCCTTCACCAAGTGGGCTCTAACACTGCAGACCCAGGCGCTAAGAGAAATCGGTGACTCGAAACAGAAGTTTGATTCCCACTCCCAGTCACAAGAGCAGGCCTTGTTGGAGAAGGCAGGAATTGAGACCGGCAGCTCTAAACGCCTCTCCGGCTCCTCCAGCCGGCGGTGGCGGCTCTAAACAGTGCGCCCTGCTAGCCGCGCCGGCAGTTGAAAGATTGGAGGGAGAGGCTTTGGCTGCCATCTAATTTTCAGCAGCTTCCCGCAGGCTCTGGCGCCTCCTCCCTCCTGCGCCGGAGGTGACAGGGCGGGGGTGGGTGAGCCCAGGCGTGGTTTGAGGTTTCACTTACAAAGACCCCATTGTAACCTGTCTGGTCGATGGAGTTTAGAAAACAAAAGTTTTCCTTGATGAAAGGGGGTTTTCTTTCCTTCTTTAATTCAGAAGAGAGAGAGAGAAAAAAAAACCCACACTCCTTAAGCAAGAAATTCGTAGTAGTTCGGACGCCAGCATTGCACCATCAAAGTTTAGATGTTTGCTCAAGCGATAAGAGGGGTCACATCTTAGGGTCAGTCTGAAATTTGGTGTATTTTTGAAGCGAGGTGCAAAGATCTTATGCAAAGGAATGTCACTGCAGGTAAATCTGAAATGAGGACAGGCGCTGGGTTCATAGATTCCAGCGCCACTCTCTCTTCCAAAACCTTCTTCTACCCTAGTATTTCCCTAGATTCTACTGGACAGAAATATTTACAAAAAGGCACTATAACTGATTTGGTGCGAAGCATCTTTGTTCTTGACTGTTGCATTTTGGCCCAAATGTGACCTCTAATTACTAACTAAATTGAACCCATTTTCGTTATGAATCCTTTTATAAAACAAGCCTTAGACTCCCCCCCTCCCTTTCTTCACAAGCCCCTTTCACAGACAGGGCTATGAGACTCCCTGCCACCAGCTCTTGGGATTGATTCTTCTCTAACCCCAGGGGTTGGCCTTACTCATTATATGGCGGAGCCGAAATGTGCGTTCATTTGGACTTTGAAATAAGTGTAGTATGTGGATTTAAAATCTGAGCCTACCTATATAGGAAGGAACTTTACCGAGAAGAGGAGCTAGGGTCTCGGGACACCGTTAACCTGTGTGTTGTTTTTGCCAGAGAGGACCCCCGGGAGTCCAAGGCCCCCCCGGGCCTCCAGGGCCCCCAGGAGTTCCGGGCATCGACGGCATCGATGTAAGTTTCTATCTCCAGGCTCCTCTGCTCTTCCATTCCTGCCATTTCCTACCTTTTCTCCAGCTGACTCAGCTAGCCTTCAGAGATGGGTAGTTGCCCTTGGAAAAGGCAGGATTGGATGTGTGTGTGTGTGTGTGTGTGTGTGTGTTTGGATCCTATCTGGGGATTATTGGCTTGGCAAGAGAAGTAGACATATCCCAGTCAGTCTGGAACTTCCATTTGGCAGGCCCCTTCTCTGCCTGGATCTTGGGGAGAACACTGGCAGAGTTCTCCCAGCAGGGTCCCAAGAGCCTCCCACTCACAGGCTGCTCTTGCCATTTCTTGTTTCTCTCTAGGGTGATCGAGGTCCAAAGGGTCCCCCAGGCCCCCCGGTAAGTTGATTGTCACCATTGCGCTCCACATCCCGCGCTCTGCTGTGTCTTGCAGCTGTGTGAGTCTGAAGGGTCTCATCTTCGCATCTTTTTTCTCTTCCTGTCTTGGCCGCTCCCTGCTCAGGGTCTCGCTGGAGAACCAGGAAAGCCAGGAGCCCCAGGCAAACCCGGCACACCAGGGGCAGACGTGAGTAAGCATGTGTGCTAAAGAGTGGGCCCAGCAGTGCGTATGTGTATATGTGTTTTGTGTGAGTGTGTGTGTCGGGAGGGTGGTGGCTGTAGCTGTCTGCTCTTGAACTGTTGAACCTATTGCCTTTGATTCCGATTCATAGCAACCCTTATAGGACAGAGAACAACTGCCCTGTAGGTTTTCCAAGGCCATCCATCTTTACCCCAGTAGACTGCCACGTCTTTCTCCCACAGAGCAGCTGGTGGGTTTGAACTGCCCACCAATTAGTTAGGAGCTGAGCCCTTAACCACTGCCCTACGAGGGCTCCTTTCTTCCCTTGAACAGTGACCCTAAACTTGGCCTTGTGTTAGCCCCTATTGAGGGGTACTTCTGGCAACTTCTGGTCTGTGAATGTGGTGACAGGCAGCAATAGTATTTCTTTCTCCTAGAAACCATGATGGTTACCTAGTTCCTGTCTCTCAGAGTAGAAACTCCCAGTTCACCCTGCTTACTTGCAGTTTCCAGCAGGCGCAGGGGCGCTGAGGGTGGGCAATGGAGTCTCTGGACCTACCAGCCTCTGCTAGGGTTGAGGCTCACCACAGGTATTCCTCCCTCTTGAGTTTTCACTGACACCCACTGAATTAATTTAGAAAAAGAATTCGCAGGCAGATGATGGGGCTGCGTTCGCCTTAATCTTGAGGAAGATGAAAAAGAAAGATAGCCTTAGGGAGAGGCCCTGAAGTGATTTAGGGTGCACGGAGATGGGACAAAAAAAGAGCTCTGGTGGTGTACTTGGTAAGATGTTTGGCTGCTAACCAAAAGGTCAGCAGTTCAAACCCCCTGGCTGATCCACGGGAGGAAGATGGAACAATCTACTTTTGTAAAGATTTACAGCCTTGGAAACCCAATGGGGGTCACTACGAATTGGAATCATTGACTTGATGGCAGTGGGTTTGGCAATAGGGGCAATGGGATAGTGGTAGGGAAACGGTTAGCACATATCAAGTAGGAAACGCAGACACTAATATTTCCTCCTCCCACAGTGTTTTTGTGGCTAACATCACTGAAAAAAAAATGAGTTGACTGAGCTGGTTAAAATGAGCGCTAGTTAAAAGACTGGGTTCCACCAATCTCTCCTCAATTTACTCACCATACATCTCCACATTCTGACACCTGCATCCCCAATCTAAGGGAAGCTGAAATGCTGAGTTTATACGCAAACCTAACACCAAACGACATTTGTTCAGGGTAAAATGACTTCAGGACCCCTAAACTGTTCTACTCTGAATGCATTCCATGAATACTTATTGAGGTTCCACTACAGGCCAGTCCTTGACTTTGTAAGTGGGATACAAAGTGAAGGAAGATATGATAGATAAGATATTCACTGTAAGATATAGTGATGCATCCCTCAAGTTTTCCTTCAAGTTATCTATCCCTTTATGTGGTTTCCAAAAACAAAAGACTTTTCTAAATGGAAGAAAACATCTGAAAACTTATGATTTTAATTTCTAAGTATTTTAGACTTGAGTTTAAGACAGATCCTTCATTTTAAGAGAAAATGTAGTTGGTAATTTCTATAAGGACTTCATTTTAAGAGAAAAAAGTAGATGGACTGTAGTTGGTAATTTCTATAAGGATTACTACCATAATGAGAGTATTTGTCTATGCTATTCAGTGCTTTGGGAGCTCTGGTAGCATAGTGGCTAAGACACTTGACTGCTCACCAGATGGCTGGCGGTTCAAACCCATCAGCCACTCCTCGGAAGGAAGGTTGGGCAATCCTACTTCCGTAGTGATACTGCCTCGGAAACCCAAGGAGGGGTCGCTATGAGTCAGGGCTGACTCGACGGCACATAACAACAACAAAACAACAACATTCAGTGCTTTGTGAGATAGACTTGTTTTCCATTTCAAAACCTTTAGTATGAACTTTCTATGTATGCAAAGTGGTGGTTTGTGAGATGCCCAAGGACTGATCGCTAGATAATACAAACTGAATATCAAAAAAATATTTGGCTAATACAACCTGAAATTATATAATTTGTTGGTTGTCAGGGTCTTCTTAGAAACACTGTGAATTACTTGAAACTGTCACATCATAATAAGAGTCTGGAGAATACAGTCCAGTTGTGATGAAGTTGACTCCAACTCCTAGTAACCCTTTGCGTGTCGTAGCAGAATTGTGCACCTTGGAGTTTTCAACTTTTCAATGAGTGATTATTCAGAGTACCTCACCAGATCTTTCTTCTGAGCTGCCATAAACACAAGGCCTAATAGCTTCATTATTCAGTTCAGATTGGATTTATTTCTACATTCCTTTGAAACTTGGATCAGACTTTTGTTTTGGGTGAAAAGAAAATTTATGGTTAAATATATATATATATATATATATATATTTGTATATGTGTGTGTTTGAAACATGAACCTGTCATCCAAAGTCCTTTTTTGGTATTGAGTTGCAATACAGTTCCAGACAAAGGGCTGGACTTAGCTGTGCTGCCATAGAAACATGCACTTGTATCTTGTTTTTATCCTTTACCATAAGATCATAAAGATAATCTCTAGTTTGACTTTATAATTAATTTCTCTACTTCAACAGAAATTTTGAATGAACTAATGAAAATGCTTTGAAATATTTAGAATTCAATATAAAGCACAGTTTTCAAGGAGTTTTTTCCTTTGTCTACAGTGGCAGTACTATAATATGATGCAGAACAAACTGGATTTCTAATATTTTCAAAAAGAGTAAATGAGTAAGGCTTATAGATTATAGAACTTTGACTCTGGAAGGCCCTTAGAAGCTGATAGGGCATTTGAGTCAGTCTTTGTAGGACTGAGGAGGAAAGCAAAAGAATAGGAGAAAGGAAGGAGAGAAAAAAGTAGGGAATCTTTTAGTATATGCTAGTATTTTAGTCATTTTCTAGAATTAAGTAAAACAATTACCTATACTAATTTACATTTGTGTAAATTTCTTTTCCCCAAACACTGTCATAAACATTATTACCTTTAATCTATGATAATCTGGAAAGTAATTTGGGCTAATATTATTTTCCACAGGTATAGTGGAATACTTTTATATATAGTGGAATATATGGGAATAGTTTTAAGGACAAGTGATTTCTTCAGGGTCTCAGAGTTATTTAGTGGTTAAGATTGAAAAAATCTGGATTTCTTGATTTGTAGCCTCACACTCTTTCCAGCTAATTCTGCCTTTGTATATACAAATGGAGTTAAGTACATGAATAATTGGAGAGAATACAGAGAAAAGAGTGGTTGTCAATTTTTGGTACCTGTGTTATCAATCAAGAAGAATGATGTGGATAATTCAATGTATAATAAAGAACACTTATAATTGATATTTTATCATTATTTCTAAGTGTTGATATGTTTCATATTCTCTGGAATTTGAATTGGAAGTCACATGGGATTTATGACTCTGGAGCTGAAAAATTTCCTACTCTACACTTTGGTTCATTTAATATTTTAAAGTCTTTTACTCTACATTGAGAACATACATCTTTGAGAATAATGAAACAGAGTAACTAGAATTTGCTATTTGTCTCTGGCCATAGTGGAGCTAAGTAGGTAGGAAAGCTTCAAAAGTGTTTTTGATAGATGAACCTGAGTGTAGTGGTAGGATCTTTAACCTCCAACTTCTTTGTCTCCTGCAGGTTGATTCATTACAAAACTGAGTTTTTTTTTTTTTTTTTTCAGTAAGGTTAAAAGGTTAAAAAGTGGTTAATCAGATGATGTTTGGATGAATCTGAAAGGAACATGGTTCAAAGTTGATTATCTTATGTTGAGTGGAGTTTTGGAAGAAAAGTTTAAAAAAGTCATGGAGGCTAAGCATGTAGAACAAGCCAAGGAGCAGTGGAAGGGAATCACCATGGATGAGTAATGCTCTCTGCCAAGCAGCAGTGTGAAAGTTCAGAACACAGTCACATTGATAAATATCATCCGTATAGAACTCTGCCTTTGTGGCGTAGTGCCTAAGGCATTTGACTGCTAACCAGAAGGCTGGAGGTTCAAACCCACCAGCCACTCCTCGGAAGGAAGGTTGGCCAATCTACTTCCCTAGTGAAACCATCTCGGAAACCCAGGGAGGGGTCACTATGAGTCAGATCTGACTTAATGGCAGTGAGTTTTGTAGACAAAATGAAAGCATTCTTTCCACCAATGGTAATATTTATACCTTTCTCTGAAATAAGATTTAGAGAGTTTTATTACAATTGGATTTTGAAAATTATGTGATATATATGTATGTATGTCTGTATATATATATATACACACACACACAATTTCAAAACTTTCCTTTCCTGCTAAGAATTTTGTTTAAGTTAAGTTGATTCTTCCTTATGGGCATGTAAAATTAAAGAAGTGGTGATACCCTTAGGACAAGTATGTTGTTATCATCAATAATACACAGAGATATTCTATTTGTTGAGATATGCTCAGAGAACTCTAAAATTTATAGCATCCTGAGATGTTATGTAACTAGAGTAGTGAGATATTGAGAAATTCTTCTGAAATGTCTGTGTACGTGGAAGTAGTCAGACATTCAAGAAATGCAGTGGTGCCAAGAAGTAGAGTATGTGTGGTAATGTCTAATATTTTTGCTTGTGTGTCTTTTTTTTTTTTGGCAGAATATTTTCTGAATGAAGTTTTAAGCTCCATCCATCCAAGAATGTTTTGTATTTCATGTGAACTCCATACAACATCTAGAACAGTGTTGAATATATAATGATTACATTAAGAACAGCTAACATTTATTCTGCCAAGAACTTTGTGTGTAATATCCCATTTAATCCTCAAATGACCATAGGGGTAGATAGTAACATTTTAAGTATTTTACATATAGTTAAGAAATTTGCCAATGGTTGCACAGCTAATAAGTGGCCCAGTCAGGATTTGAACTAAAATCAAGATGTTGTAGAGGGACAAGTGTTACATCTTTCCACCTAAAAGGCTAACTTAAATGAACTTTATTCAATAATCGTGTATTGAGTGCCTGTTAGATGTTAGAGGCTAAGCTGGGACTATAATTCTAGTCCTTGTTCTCATGGAGCTTATGTTTTTTTACATAGTTATTTTATAAACATTCAGTGTAACATCTGACACCAGAATTCATTTTCAATTGAATTCAAAGAACTTCCCAATGACAGTTATAATTTATCATGTTTTATGGAAGAGACTTTAAAAAAGAAGTGACCTGGAAGTGGAACCAGATTATCCAACCATTTACTTGATTCTGTTTTATTATATTGTAGTTGGAATTCTACCATATATAATAGTTACTGTTCTCCAGTCTTGTCGGTTATTCTAGTCATAGTTCAAAGACAATTAATTGACTGTGTGTATGGGGTTGACTGGGATTGTTCTTGGAGGATATCATGTATAAATTGGGAGCTTCCATTAGTCAAATATGCTCTGAGATTTATAAAGTTTATGTGTTGTATATGGTGTCAGAGAGTGCACCTGGATGTATAGTTTGCTGAAATATGAGAGCAAACATTCCATTTCCATTAACAACCATGTTGGGGCTTATTCCCAAATTACATTGTTGTAAATAGACTAGAAAACAAACCAAACCCACTGCCATTGAGTCAATTCTGACTCACAGTGACATTTCAGAACAGAGCAGAAGTCCCTTGTAGGGTTGTCAAGACTGTAAATCCTATGGAAGCAAACTGTCTCATCTTTCTCCTATGGAATGGCTTGTGGGTTTGAATTGCTGACCTTTTGGTTAGCAACTGAATGTCTTAACCATTGTGTCACCAAAGCTCATAGTTAGACTAAAGACGTTGAAAACCCATAAAAAATTCTTATTGCTGTATTTATTTAATATTTTTCTTTTGGTAAATTACCAATAATTAACATTTTAATCCTTTTTTTCTTACTTCCTTTGATCTACCTGTAAACTTATTAGTGAAATTAATTGATTTAATATATAAAAATGGTGGTCAAGGAAGTAGTTTCTACACGAATCACATGAAGAATTCTATTGATATTTATGCACACTGTGACAGATTAAATTTAGATTGGTGATCAGTTGTTTTCATAGGGCTTTCATATTTTGAAGAGATCCCTCCCTCAGTTAATATTGTGTTTCAAAATCTTGATGATAGGTTTTATAAGTTATGTATGTATATATGCTATGTGTACATGTATATTTTTACACATATATATTTTTAGCAAAGTATAACTTCAAGATTACATTTTATGTGCCAACAGCTAAAATTGTCAAAAATTGAAGAAACATAAATTAAAAATATATTTTCATCAAATATAGAAATTCAGGTGAATGTATATCATGCTTTACCATCTATATTTATATTGAAGATGACAATAAATACTTGTAGGGAAAATGATAGGTTTAAAAGTTCTGATTATGAGTCGAAATTGACTTTATGGTATGAGTTTGGTTTGGTTTTTATAGCGGTATATGTGATAGTTATCCAAAGTCAAAACCAAACCTATTGAGTTGATTCAGACTCATAGCAACCCTATAGGACAGAGTAGAACTTCCCTATAGGATTTCCAAGGCTGTAAATCTTCACAGAAGCAGACTTCCACATCTTTCTCCCATGGAGTGGCTGGTGGGTTAGAACCACTGACCTTGAGGTTTGTAGCTGGGTAGTACTTTAACCATACACCACCAGGGCTCCTATGAAAATTATAGATAATGTTTTATAATAGGCTTAAATTCTACACACAGAGTGGCATATACGAACATATGTATTTACTGTAGCTTCTTTATTAAGAAAGATGATGAAGAAACATGCTCTTAAAAATTTCAATGGTGGAACACTGCAAAAAACAAAACAAAACAAAACAAAAACACATTGACCTATGTCACTTTAGTTTTGTGTATTTCACTATACATAAATTATATTTCAATAAAATGCATTAAAAAAATTTCAATGTTAAGAGTTACTGTTCTTTAATAAGCAATTATCATTGCTAGAAGATGGGAGCTCTGGTAGCATAGTGGCTACGGCACTTGACTGCTAACCAGAAGGCTGGCGGTTCAAATCCACCAGCCACTCCTCGGAAGGAAGATGGGGCAATCTACTTCTGTAGTGATACTGCCTCGGAAACCCAAGGAGGGGTCACTATGAGTCGGTGCTGACTCGACGGCAAACAACAACAACAACAACAACAGAAGATAGTTAACGGGCATTAAGTGCATCTAGCTATAAGGCAATAATGAGATTATTTGTGTTTAATTCTGATTGAGGAAACATTTAATTCACTCTGAAGACATTGTTGTCCTGTAGCTAGAAAGACATATTGTATTTTTATTTTTTAAATAATGAAAAAGAGATACATAAACCTTGGTAAATGGCAGAGCCAAGACCATTTGTCCCATCAGACTTTGCTATTAGAATGTTGTGATTGTTATGTTGCATTTTTTTTTTTAAGTGAAAACAAACGAAAAACATTGGGTGGTGCAAATGTTTAATGTGCTTGCCTACTAACTAAACTGTTGGAGATGCAAGTCTACTCAGAGGTACCTCAGAAGAAAGGCCTGACAATCTACTTGTGAAAAATCAGCCACTGAAAACCCTAATAGTACAGGTTTACTTTGTCACACATGGAGTTGCTATATGTAGGAGTATATATATATTTTATGATAAATAATTTAGTTGGCAAGATGTTAGAAGTATGATACAACTTATCAACATAAAGTAACTTGCAGGCAGATCTCATGTTAAATGTTATCTTCGAGTAAGAATGTAGAAATGCATTTCTTTATAAATATTTGCAACATACATATATAACCACTGTGCCACCAGAGCTCATAATTAGACTAAAGACAAAGTTAACTATGTGATATTAAATGCTGATAGGTAATTTATTATTAAAGTGCTTGCAAATCAGCTAATGATTAAATTGTGAGCTGCTGAAAATTCTTATTGCTGTATTTGTTTAATATTTTTCTTTTGGTAAATGACCAATAATTAACATTTTAATCCTTTTTTTTCCTACTTCCTTTGATTCACTCTGTAGACTTACTAGTGATAATGATTTAAAATGTAAAAATGGTGGTCAAGGAAGTAGTTTCTTTATGAATCACTTGAAGAATTCTATTGATATTTATGTACACTATGACAGATTAAATTTAGATTTGAGAGATTCACTTAGCATTTTGCCTAAGCATGCTATGATAGTTCTAATATCATTTGTCTTTGTTAGGGATTAACAGGACCTGATGGATCTCCTGGCTCTGTTGGACCAAGGGGACAGAAAGTAAGTTAACTATGTGATATTAAATGCTGATAGGTAATTTATTATTAAAGTGCTTGCAAATCAGCTAATGATTAAATTGTGAGCTGCTGAATATACTTTTTCAACTAAAATGTTTAAAGACACAGGGATGGAGTGTTTTAATGATTTCAATATGTATGGAGTTTACATATTTCTATATTTATGCTACAAAAAGCTAAATATAATAAGACTATTTTTATTTCTAGGGAGAGCCTGGTGTGCCAGGATCTCGTGGATTTCCAGTAAGTAAATTTAAAGTGACTGAATTGAAAATCTCCTCTCTTTGGTAAAATTCTGCCATTGTAAAAATTTAAAAATGCAGTATGACAAGGGAATTGATGATTTATCTGGTATGGTAAGTTTTCCCACAGTGCTCCTGTGAGCAGAAATTTTGGAGAAACCTGAACGTGCAGTATAGAGTGTACAATATAGAATACAACATCTAATTAGAAATACCCGATGGACAACTCCCCTGCCCAACTGATAGAAAAGGGTTTTTTGCATAACAGCAGTACATATAAGTATTCAGTGTTTAGACTATGGCCTCAAACCACTTTCTTCACAGGTGGTTTTATCTTTAAGGAAATATCAACTAAGCAGATATTATCACCCACTTGATTCCCTGGCTGGTCTTTTCCTATATTGCAAAATGTGGCAGATTTGTTTGCATTTGTATGTAGAAGAGGACAAGTTCTCAGGCTGCTTTTTCTTTCTATTTTGCTCTTCATCTCCTTTTTGTTCTTGTCATTAATCTCTATTTCTCCTTCTATTTTTTTCTAGTTGCACTATTTTCTTTGCCATGTATCAACATCTGTCAACTTTTCCATTATAATCCTATTTTCAGAAATGAATAATTTGCTGGCCTTTCTCCCACATTTCTAAGCTCAAATCTCAAATCTTACAGAGATGTCTTTTTTTTTAAATTTAGTGAAATTTATCAAACATCTAGGTCTCTTGTAATGAAATTACTTATTGATTGCTTCTGTATTTTCAAGCATGACACTTATTTCCCAAATTGATCCATATATTAAAGTAATTTCTCAAATGATGCCATGAAAGAGCCCCAATTGTAGATTAAAACATACTACTCAGGTGAAATTGTTTCTTGTTTTGGCTGCCTAAATAATTAGAAAAAATAATGAAATTATCAGGAACTATATGTTAATTCCACTGGGTGCTTCATATGTGGATATCGTAGAGAACTGAAAAAATAGCATAAAAAACTAACATAAATATAGAATCAGACAGCTGTGAATAAAAGTTATCCTAGCCAATGCAGGAAAGAAAAGAGTAATGAGATGATATCCTAAGTGGAAAAGATTGAATGTAGAAATCAAGAGAATAGGGTGTTCCAGATGACTGATGTTCAGTTGTATTAATTTAACAAGCAATTACGTAGAGTTTATTATACAGTAGGCTCTGTGCTAGGAGTTAGGGCTATGATGATGACTAAGATGTGGTTTTAATCTTTGCTGATATGCAATTTAGTGTCCCTAAGAAGGTATAAAGTATAAAGAAGAGGGAGGCAGAATGACTAGCTTTAAAATCAAATTAAATTTATTAAATCAGAACCCCATTGTAGGTTATTTCAGGAAGGACACTGCTTATTTTCAATATGTGCTAGATTTGGCATCTGGAAATAGAGCCTTATTTACCAAAAGGTCTGTGTTTCTGACCATTTTTTCTCCCATTCCTCTCTCCACTGATGATGGTTTGGAGAACTTCTAAACATTGAGTATAAATTAGACTGTTCAATTCATTATACATATGTACACACATAGAAGAGTAAGAGAGAGATATTTCAAGGAAATTCCTCCTGTAGTTGTAGAAACTGGTAAGTCCCAAATAATGGTTTAGGTGGTAGGATGGAGGTTGAAGGCTTCTCCTAACTCATGTGGTTGCAGAGGCTGATGAAGTCACAATCAGCAGGTTAGACAACAGGCTGTTGGTTCATGGGGCTGTGGAAGCCAGTGAATCTGAGAATTGGGATGCCAGACAACAGGCTTCCAGCTTAAGTCCCAAGAACTGGAGGTCAAATGATGACAGGTGGGTGCAAGATTCAGAGCTAGGGAGAGTCTTGCAAGAGTATCCATATTATATTGGATACAAGCCACATTCCCAAGGAAATTCCCCTTATATCAGAGTAAGGGTATGACTTCAGTAAGGGTGTGATTTGAGTAAGAGTGTGACTTGAGTCATGTCCTCTTGAAAGGCTATGACTCAAGATACACCCCACACTAATCCTGCCTCACTAACATATAGAGGTTAAGATTTACAGCATATAAATACATAAAATAAGATAACTACATCAGATCAAAAAAATGGAGGACAACCACTCAATACTGGGAACCATGACCTAACCAATTTGATACATAAATCAACCATCATAGTATACCCCTTATCAACTTGGCACCTGTATACATCTCCCTAAGCCATGCATAATATCTAAATAAAGACAATAAGGTCATACTTGTGCCTAATATAATACAACTAGTATGCATATACCGGAAAATTTAGCAGCCCTGTTTACATATTATATTTTGTAAGAAAATAAAAAGATTTGCTATGTGTATATATGCACACATACACATATGATAAAACAAGGAAGAACTACTCTTAATAATTACAGTCCTTGTTTCTGCAACTGGTTATGTGTTCATGACTGGTATTTAGAGCTACCTTCTTCCACTACACATTCTGTATTCTCTTTGCTCTCAGTAAAGAGAATACTCAGCTGTCGATGGCTCTTTGCTGAGTGGGGTGACCCAAGCCTTCATTCCTGAAGGATTTGGGCCATTAGTAGTTGTGTCAGAATTGAGTTGCTGTAGTTTTCCCTTGACTTGAATCACAAGGCATGGTAGTACTAAGAGACCTCATAAGGGATCTCCTATCTTCCAGACCTACTCTTCTTTGAACTCCATTATGTAATATCAGTACAATTTTCCCTTGGTAATCACCCCAGACTGCGATTCATTCACTGTACCTAGAATTCTTCCACTTGTACAGATCAAATAAATATATAATAGATTTTCCATCTATTTCAATCCTATGGGCACTATGCCTAAGTAGCCAATGTCCTAAGTCCATCACAATGAGACTATTCTAATAACTGCTTTGACTTTGCTTATCCATTTTGGTAACCACACCCACCTTGTCTTTGTTGATTAAGTGCTGCCACTTGGCCCCTACCACCATGGAGTCCAATCAGCCCCATTGTTGTTGTTAGATGCAGTCGAGTCAGCTCCTACTCAAAGTGACTCTACATGTAACAGAACGAAACACTGCCTGGTCATGTGCCATCCTCACAAGTCTTGCTATGCTTGAGCCCATCATTTTTCCAGTAATATTTCAGTGTTTCATTGCTATTCATAAGGTTTTCAGTAACCAGTTTTTTCAGTGTGGATGGGCCCATCCTTCTTTCCAGTCTTAGTCTGGAAGCTCTGCTGAAACCTGTCCACCATAGGTGACCCAGCTGGTATTTGAAATACTGGTGGCATAGTTCCAGCCTCACAGCAACATGCAAGCCATCACAGTACAACAAACTGACAGATGAATTGTGGGTAGGTATCTTAAACTTAGGGCAGTTCTCACTGTCAAATCTGATTTATGTAAAATAGCCATCACCACAGTCTACAAGGATACTGGGGCTCCCTTCCTATATTTGTTCCTTACCATAGTGGTAAAAGATGTGTCCTCTGAGCACACCATGTTAGAAGTAACTAACATGGAGTTAGTCTCTGGGTCCAACTTGATAAATCCACTCTGACATGCTAGTTTCCCTAAGTTTTTGGATATCTTCTTCTATAGTATATGAAGGCAGGCACTTCAACTTGACCACTTAATCCCCCACTTAAGCCATGCTTCAGTGAACCAACCAAATGAACTGTTTAATCATGTCTAACCTCTGGAACTGAAACATTGAATGAAAAATCTGTGCTTAATGGGGCCACATCAATAAAATCTTAAAGATCTAACTTTATGTTCCTTTTACCATTATTCCACATCCATTCCCACACATACCCCCCAGTTTTCTGTTTGTATACATTAGAAAAGTTAAGCAGTTCTTTTGGAGTTTAGCATAGCTCCTCCTGGTCAGGAGCTCCGGTGGTGTAGTGCTTAAGGCATTTGGCTGCTAACCAGAAGGCTGGGGATTCAAACCCACTGGCCACTCCTTGAAAGGAAGATTGGGCAGTCCACTTCTTAGAGATACTGCCTTGGAAACCCAAGGAGGAGTCTCTATGAGTTGAATCGAGTCACTCTGAGTTGAATCGATTCTACGGCAGTGAGTTATTTTTTTTTTGGGGGGGGAACTTAAATCTGGTTATAGGTCTAGAAGCAAAAATGGGTGGTGAGGGTGGGTCATGGGAACATTCAGCAATGTCCTGAAAGCCATCTGCCTCAGGTGATGCCCTAGGGACCATCTCAAAGAGTATTCAGGCATAGCTGGGTTAATCTTCTACCTCTAAGCGAGGTAGAAGTGATAATAGTTTTCCTGGGGAACGTGGTTTAGCAGACAAAGATGGAGGAGTCTCTTCAGATGGGAGAGGTGATACTGTTGGCAGGTGTGAAGGGACTCAATGTCTTCATCTTCCTGAAGAAGATGGGTTTCTTCCAATCAACATACTTAACTTCAGACAGTAGTTTTCTTATAAAGCATCAGCAAAAACAAACCAGCAAACAAAAAAACAATTATACTATCAGGTTGTGATGTGCTTCTTTGTGTGATGAGTTCGCTGGAGGACAAGCATGAATGATTTCTTTACTTTGATTTTCTTAAAAAAAAAAAGTTGGCAAGAAATGTTACTGCTAAGCTTAGACATTAAAGGAATGTTTGAGCAACTGAAACAAGCCTCTGCTTCCTTTAGAAGCAAAGCCGTGTTTGCTTTTCTTTAATATAGTTTTCTGTAGAATGAGCTTCATGTATTTATTTTGTGGTGCTGTTTTTGGTTTATTTTGGAAATAAATTGTGTCTGTGTCCACATTTATACTAGGTATAAACTACATGCCATAAGATAATTTTATTTTTATGTTTTAGGGCCGTGGTATTCCTGGACCCCCTGTAAGTATCACTTAATTATTTTTACACAGTCCATAAAAATGGCCTATTTCTCAAATCCCAGACTTGCTCTCCAACTAACATTCTACCCGTTGGTGTTCATAGTGTCCTACCTACATAATCTATTAATTGCAGCATCTCTGTTCTGCTAAAGAAGATATTTGACTAATTTAGGAAATTTATCTTCTATTTTAAATAATTAAAGTTTGATCAAATGTGTTATTGTCTTATTGGAAACCAAAGCCAGCACAGATTCATAATTCTAAGTTGGTTGTTTAATATATTTGATATCATTTATGTTAGATTGTAAAAACACCCATAAATCACCATGTACCTTTGATTTGATGATTTCAGGGTCCTCCTGGGGCAGCAGGACTCCCTGGAGAGCTTGGCCGAGTTGGATCAATTGTGAGTACCACAGGTCATTTTGACAGACATTTGCTATTTTAAGAGATGGTGCTACCAGGGAAGGCGAATTAATGTAACTGTATACTTCCTGTTACAATAACAAAAATGGCAGATTAGCTTTATTCTGGTTCATAATGTTGATGATGACTAGGAATAATAATGCTACCTTGATTTTATAGAATGATTTTAATTTTTTTTTAGTTTTTAGCTAAGGTTTTTTTTTCCCCTGACATCCAAATTTAGTGATCAAGTCAAGGAATGTTACCTCCATTTTATAAACTCACAATCAGGATTGGGGTCTAGTATTTCTTCTATTAGACAGCTTTCATGAGATGAAGAGTGAATAGTTTACCATGTATGTTTATGCTATGATTATTAAATTGTAATTGAACCAACAAAACTTTAGGCAATAAAAAGTTGAACCTCATAGAACAAATTGCTGGAAAAAGTGTTTTATGGACAGTAAATATTTAAAAAAATATTCAGTAGTTACATGATGGTAGGTAATTGTAAACTCATTAGGGAAGCAGCTACATATTATACACCTTTCTTGCTATTCTACATGTGCTTACTATTCGACAAGTTTGTTACTGAACAAATGAATGAATATGAAATGATTATAACCAGTTGCCTCCTTTACCCCAAGGCCAGAAGAACTGGATAGTACATAGCTACCATTATTGAACATTTTGATCAAAGATAATATTCCCATGGAATCAAGCTATCTGGAGCCATTAAACACTGGATGAACCCCTGAAACTACTGCCCTGAGATAATGTTAAAATCTTAAGCTTTAAATTAAAAATATCCCCTAAAGTTAAAATCAAACATTAGTTTACCTTAACTAGTAAAGAACATCTACCTTGAGCATTGTGCTTTTTTAAGAACTAGCTATGCCAGATCAAATTGACAATATTGTTGTTGTTGTTAGGTGCTGTCAAGTCAGCTCTGACTCATAGCGACCCTATGTACAACGGAATGAAACACTACTGCCTCCTGTGCCAGCCTCACAGTCCTTGCTATACCTGAGCCCATTGTTGCAGCCACTGTGTCAGTCTACCTTGTTGAGGGCCTTCCTCTTCTTTGCTGACCCTCCACTTTACCAAGTATGATGTCCTTCTCCAGGGAATGGTCCCTTCTGACAATATGACAAAAGCAGCTGAGATAAATCTGACCATTCTCGCTTCCAAGGAGCATTCTAGCTATACTACTTCCAGGACAGATTTGTTTGTTCTTTTGGTGGTCCATGGTACTTTCATTATTCTTCACCAATGCCACAGCTCAAAAGCATTAACTCCTCTTTGGTCTTCCTTATTCATTGTCCAGCTCTCACATGTATATATATGAGGTGATTGAAAATACCATGACTTGGGTTAGGGGCACCTTAGTCTTCAAGGAGGTATCTTTGCTCTTCAGCACTTTAAAGAGGTCTTTTGCAGCAGATTTGCCCAGTGCAATACGTTGTCTGATGTCTTGACTGCTGCTTCTATTGGTGTTGATTGTGGAACCAATTAATATGAAATCTTTAACAACATCAATCGTTTCTCCGTTTATTGTGATGCTGCTTATTGGTCCAGTTGTGAGGATTTTCATTTTCTTTATGTTGAGATGTAATCCATACTGCAGACTGAAGTCTTTAATCTTCATCAGTAAGTGCTTCAAGTCATCCTCACTTTCAGCAAGCAAAGTTGTGTTGTCTGCATATTGCAGGTTATTAATGAGTCTTCCTCCAATTTTGATGCCACATTCTTCTTCATATAGTCCAGCTTCTCAGATTATTTGTTCAGCATACAGATTTAATAAATATGGTAAAAGGATACAACCCTGACATACTCCCTTCCTGATTTTAGACCATGCAGTATCCTCTTGTTCTGTTCGAACAATGGGCTCCTGGTCTATGTACAGGTTCCTAATGAGCACAGTCAAGTGTTCGGGAATTCCCATTCTTCTCAATGTTATCCATAATATGTTATGATCCACACAATTGAATGCTTTGGCATAGTCAATGTTCTGGTTACCTAGTATCACTCTGACAGGAATATACCACGAATGGAATGGCTTGGAGAAACAGGAGTTTATTCTCTTACAGTTTGGAGGCTATAAGTCTGAGTTCAAAGTGCCAGGGTCTAGGGGCTGGGTGAAAGCCCCTCAACCTTGGGCTTCAGCTCTGCCTCTTGCTCCTGGCCGACTGAAGCTAGAGGCTTTTCTTCATTCAGACAGCTGCTAGCTGCTGAGACTGACAAGCCCAGTATTGACAAGTAAAAAGGCACCAATGATGTTACCAAACTATATGGCAGGCCATTAATTCAAGTCCACTGAAAGTCCCAAGGTTGGCAGAGCATGACAGAACAAGGACATGGCTACATGCGGGGTTCAAGTGTGCCATAAGCTGGAGACCATTCCGAAAGCTGTTTCTTATACATGGAAAGCAGACCACATACCCAAAGCAGCTACTCAGCTGCTCAATAGATTTCACTATGGAGCTAATTACCAATCTTACCATGGGGAAGAACTACATTCAGCTGCCCAGCCACTCAACCAGGCCCAGCCAAGATGATACACAAACTTAACCACCACAGTCAATAAAACATAAGTAAACATCTTTTTGGTATTCTTTGCTTACAGTCAAGATCCATCTGACATCAGCAATGATATCCTTTGTTCCACATCCTCTTCTGAATCCACCTTGCATTTCTGGACATTCTCTGTCAATATACTGCTGCAACCATTTTTCAGTTATCTTCAGTAAGATTTTACTTGTGTGTGATATTAATGATATTGTTCGATAATTTCCACATTCTGTGGGAGCACCTTTCTTTGAAATGGGTACAAATATGGGTCTCTTCCATTCAGTTGGCCAGGTAGCTGTCTTCCAAATCTCTTGGCATAGCCAAATGAGTGCCTTTAGCATGGCATCCATTTGTTGAAACATCTCAATGGGTATTCCATCAATTCCTGAAGCCTTGTTTTTTGTCACTTCCTTCAGTGCAGCTTTGACTTCTTCCTTCAATATTGTTGGTTCTTGATCATATGCCACCTCTTGAAATGGAAGAACATTGACCAATTCTTTTTGGTACAATGACCCTGTGTATTCCTTCCATCTTGTTTTGATGTTTCCTGCATCATTCAATATTTTGCCCATAGAATCTTTCAACGTTGCAACTTGAGTTTTTTCTTCAGTGCTTTCAGATTGAGAAATGCCGAGTGTGCTCTTCTCTTTCGGTTTTCTAACTCTAGGTCTTTGCACATTTTATTATAATGATTGACTTTGTCTTCTCAAGCTGCTCTTTGAAATGTTCAGCTCTTTTATCTTATCATTTCTTTAATTTGCTTTACTCCTCTCCATTCAAGGGCAAGTTTCAGAGTCTCTTCTGACATCCATTTTGGTCTTTTCTTCCTTTCTTATCTTTTTAATGACCTTTGCTTTCTTCATGGATAATGTTCTTGATGTCATCCCACAATTCATCTGGTTTTCAGTCATTGGTGTACAGTGCATCAAATCTATTCTTTAGATGGTCTCTAAATTCCAGAGGAATATAATCAAGGTCATATTTCGGCTCTTGTGGACTTGTTCTAATTGTCTTCAGCTTCAACTTGAACTTGCATATGAGTAGCTGATGGTCTGTTTCACAGTCAACTCTTGGCCTTGTTTCGCCTCTTTCCACAGATGTAGTTGATCTGATTCCTGTGTATTCTGTCTGGCAAAGTCCATCATTGCTGTTGTTGAAAAAAGGTATTTGTGATGAATAAGTTGTTGGTCTTGCAAAATTCTATCATGAGATCCCCAGCATTATTTCTATTACCATGGCCATATTTTCCAACTACCAGTGATTCTTCTTTATTTCCAATTTTTTGCATTCCAGTCACCAGTGATAATCAACACATTTTGATTGCAATGTTTGATTGATTTCAGACTGCAGAACTTGGTAAAAGTCTTCAATTTCCTCATCTTTGGCTTTGGTGTTTGGTGTGAAATTTGCATAATAGTAGTATTAACTGGCCTTCCTTGTAGGTGTATGGATATTATCCTATCACTGTGCATTGTACTTCAGGATAGATCTTGAAACATTCTTTGTGACAATGAATGCCACCCCATTCCTCTTCAATTTGTCATTCGTGGCATAGTAGACCTTATGGTTGTCTGATTCAAAATGGCCCAAACTAGTCCATTTCAGCTCACTAATGCCTAGGGTATCAATTTTTGTGCATTCCATTTCAGTTTTGACAACTTCCAATTTTCTTAAATTCATACTTCGTACATTCCATGTTGTAATTATTAATGGCTGTTTGCAGGTTTTTTTTCTTATTTTTTCCCCCCAATTTTTAGTCGTGCCACATCAGCAAATGGAGGTCCCGAAAGCTTTACTCCATCCACATCATTAAGGTTGGCTCTACTCTCAAGAGGCAGTCTTCCCCAGTCATATTTTGAGTGCCTTCTGACCTGAGGGGCTCATCTTCCAGCACAATATTGGACAATGTTTTAGGGCTATTCATAACATTTTCCAGTAATATATCAGACAATGTTTCATTGCTATTCATAAGGTTTTCACCAGCCAGTTCTTTGAGAAGTGGATAGCCCCTTTCTTCTTCCAAGTCTGTTTTAATCTGGAAGCTCTGCTGAAATCTGTCTACCATGGGTGACCCCGCTGATACTTGAAATACTGGTGGTATATCCTTCAGCCTCACAGCACCAAAGTATGACAAGCCACCAGAGTATGACAAACTATTGACAAAATTATTGACAATAACAACTTGAAAGATTAATAGGAAATTTGGGAGCAGTGGGTTTATATTAGTAGAGGAGGAACAATCCAGAAAAAGAGGTCAAGAATGGTTGTGCAACTTGAAGAATATAATCAATGTCACTGAATTGTGCATGTAGGAAATTTTGAATTGGTTCTTGTTCTGTTTTGTATATTCTTAACAACAACCAAAATAATATTGTATGATGCTTTTGGCTTCTTACAGTAGAACATAACATAGGGAAACATTCCAGAATAAACTTTGGATGTTAAGCCTTATTGGAACCCATTTTCATCTTAATGGTTTACTTGAATTTAGCCATCTTTGATCTTCTGTTCCATTTACAAGAGAGTGCAGTGACAGCCCAAGTGATAGATGGTGGGTGCACAGCACCAGTGAGGGGCAGGCTCTATGGAGATCAACCTTCCATGTAAAGCTTTAGGGCAGATGCACTCATTCATGCAGCAAACCTTTTTTTTGTTGTTGCTATCATTACCTGGATGATACTACTAGTACTGGATTCTCTGGCTCCTCTGTACATCAAGTAGAAAAAATATGTGATGTTTCCAGTTTGCTTTCAGAATAGATAGGGTGACCATCTTATAGAGAAGAATTGGCTTTGCTATTTTACCCTGTTTTTCCCTTTGCCTTATTTTATTACCTCAGTGAGACTGGAACACCTTTATTATTCCGGTTTTATGGAGCTAATTGGATTATGGGCCTCCCATTGATTTTGGTAGCAGGTTTATGCATGGCTGAGCTCTGTAGGGGTTTCTAATAATACCAGTCTCTCATGCTTCGCCAGCTTTGTGTAACATGTTTTGACATGTGTATAACAACTGTGTCACAATTTTCAAATAACTTAGGGTGACCCTGGGAGAAAAGGACCACCTGGCCCCCCTGGCCCTCCAGGACCCAGTGTAAGTGATTTGTGGCTTGAATTTCTCTTTGCTTCTGAGAATTGTGACTGAACATAAGAACCAAAAATGGAAGTACATACTAATTTGAGTCACTGTTATAAGTCACCAAACTGGCTGCAATTTTCTTCACCCACTGAGAGCATGCTTTTTTTTTAGGTCAGAAAAGTAGAGGATTCACAATAATTTAAAAGGTGGAGGGCAAGGTTTACTCATGACATTTGAAGTCCTTTGATGCTTATGATTCCTCAAATGTTCAAAACTTGGACATATAAAAGGAGCATTTTCAAATGAACTAGTTTTATGAAGGTTTTACACAGTAAGAAATTTAAAAAAGACATTCAAGTAGATAATCTATATTTTAAATTTATTTTTCATAATCCCCATATTTTCTGTTCTCTCTCTCATTTCATTTGCCTTCAATTCCTTGAAAGAAATAATCTACTGAAATTTAGGGTTCTCCAGAAGGATTATACTCATGAGTCAACTTTCAAAATATTAGCATATTATATATGCTTATAATATTATATATATTATATTATATAGCTACTATATAGTCATTACATTTATTGAAAAAGTATATTTATTATATTTTTGTCCAAGGAAATTTCTATTATTATTAGGCTTGAATTAATTATTTAACTACATTCTTAACTTTAATATTTTATTTACTTAGGGAACAATTGGACTTCATGATGGAGATCCATTGGTATGATGTTTTCCTTTTTAAAAATAATAGCATTTAAGTCAAACACCCCATAATCTTTTTTGAATTATCTTTTAAATAATCTTGCTGGGATATACTGTGTTTTACCTTTATTTAGATGACAGCAACCTGCAGCACTAGAGAACTGTTGGTTTGTGTACAGACTGTAACAATTTTTCATTATAGAAATATAATGAATCTTTGTTTTCCATAATCTTATTTGTCTATAAACTAATTAGTTTATTACATTACTAAGGATGCTTTTCGCTAAAGCACCATAATTTTAGGAGATGAAAGTCGAATAACTCCCTTTGAGTCTTGTTTGTTATTTATAGGCTAATATTCAAATGATGTTGGTACTGCAGTCAATGCAATACTGATCCATTTGACAAGGGAATATGAATCTCAGTGTAGAATTATTTCAGTGGAAGGCAAGAGGGAAGTTGGATCAGGTTGTAGTAAAAAGTAGGATGTAATAGGTTTTCTGTAAACATTTTCTTTAATGAATTATATTTAAAATAAATAGGACAAATATTATCATGTTAATATGGATAGTAGACCATGGGGATTTGTTATATTCTCTGTACTTTTTTTATAAACTTAAAACATTTCCAAGTTTATAACAGACAATGAAAAAAAGGAAAAAGAAAAGGTGTATTCAGAGTTATTTGATGATTAGAGTTGCATTGGGGTTCTATAGTTGGAATCCCTAAAATCCATCATTTTGTCATAAAGTGGGGACTGTAGTTTATACTCTCTCTCTCTCTCTCTTTTTACAGTGTCCCAATTCCTGCCCACCAGGTCGTTCAGGATACCCAGGTCTACCAGGCATGAGGGTAAGACAAATAATGAGTGTTTTATTTTTTAGAGTAGTATGCTTTGAAAAAATGGAGCCTTTACTTTAGGCACTGGCTTCTTGGTACAGACACTCCACTTTGATGGATCAGGCAAATGTCTTAGTTACCTCGTACTGTGGTAACCAAAAAAAAAAAAAAAAAAAACCACCCACAGTGGGTGGCTTTAAGGAACAGAAATTTATTGTCTTACAGTTTTAGATGCTGGAAGTCCAAATTCAGGAAACAGCTCTATGGAAGGATTTTTTCTTGTTGGTAGCCTTGGACATATCTTAGCATACCCTGGCTTGTAGAGGGTTCCTCACATGGTCTCTTTCCTCTGTGTGTGCCTGTGTCTTTTCTCTGTTCTCTTTATATAAGATGCCATTCAGAAGAGATTAGGTATAGGACCCATCCTGCATACTATGAACTCAAAAGAAAATCTCTGTTTCCAAACAAGGTCATATTTACAGGTATATAAGTTAGCACTTCAATATACCTTTTTAAATGTAAAATATATCAGTTTATTATTACTATTTTTAAATGCATTTTATTGAAATATAATTTATGTATAGTGAAATACATGGAACTAAAGTGACATGGGTCGATACATTTTTTTTTTTTTTTTTGTCAGTGTTCCCTCCCCTCACCACCCACCCCTGGCAACCAACAAAGAAAGTTTCCCTCCATATATAAACCTTTCCTTGACCCTCCATAACAACAAACTAATACTACAGTTGTCCTTCTGTGATTGACTTATTTCACTTAGCATAATGTCCTCCAAGGGAGCTGTGGTAGCGTAGTGCCTAAGGCACTTGACTGCTAACCAGAAGGCTGGTGGTTCAAACCCACCAGCCACTCCTCAGAAGGAAGGCTGGGCAATCTACTTCCATAGTGATACCACCTCAGAAACCCAAGGAGGGGTCGCTGAGAGTTGGGTCAGACTCAATGGCACATAACAACAACAATGTCCTGAAGTTCATCCATGTTATGTGGTGTTTTGCAGACTCTACATTATTCTTTAGTGCTGCGTACCATTACATTGTGTGTATGTACCTTGGTTTGGTCATCCACTCTTCCATTGATGGGCATGTAGGTTGTTTCCATCCTTTACTATTGTAAATAGCACTGCAATGAACATGAGTGTGCATGTATCTGTTCCTGTCCTGGCTCTCACCTCTCTAGGATATATACCTAGTAATGGGATTGCTAGGTCAAATGGTATCTCCAATTCCAGCTTTCTAAGGAATCGCCATACTGCTTTACACAGTGGTTTTATCACTTCGTAGTCCCACCAGCAGTGTATGAGAGTCCCAATTTCTCCACATCCCCGCCAGCATTTGTTATTTTCTGTCTTGTTTAACTTTGCCATCAGTGCTGGGGTTAAATGGTATCTCATTGTTAATTTGATTTGCATCTCTCTGATGGCCAGTGATTGTGAGCATCTCTTCACGTATTTGCTGGACACCTGAACCAAATCTTCAACATTTTTTCCCGTGGTTTTATTTGTCTCTTCCTGTTCTGGAATTCTGATTAAACATAGGTTATTCCTTTTGATGGTATCCCATATGTACCTTAGGCTTTCTTCATTATGTTTTGATCTTTTTTTCTGATTGATCACATTCCAAAGAAGTATCGAGGTGTTTGCCTTCAATCTCACTAATTCTGTCTTCCATTGATTAAATTCTACTCCTTTGTCTGTTCCATGTCTTATCTATTTCTGAAAATTTAGTATTAATCTTCTGGATTTCTGTCTGTAGATTTTGTACCATTTGTAATTTTTCATTTATTTTGTTATTTGTTCTTGTATTGTCTTTCAGAATTGTTCCAGGTTTTTCTCTGTGTTTTCCTCACTATTGTTAGTGTTTTCCTTGATCTGTCTCTCAATTAGTTGAAGATACTTAAATATAATTCTTTAAAATTCCTAATCAGGGAGTTCCAATGGAGCATCTTCCTCAGGAATGTGTTTTGGGTCTGTATCCTGGTCCCTTGTTTCTCCTGCTTTATCTTGCTTCTTTCTGTGCACTGTGATGCTCTGTTGTCTTGGAGGCATTGTGATGTTTTTATGTTTATATTTAATTGGTGATTGTATGTGGGAGTGACTTGTACCTTGTTACCTACAAGGGGCAACCAATAAGACTAAGTTCGTGATTTTTGTTTTGTTTGTATGTTATCTATGTAAGCAGGGTACTGTGCTGTGCTCCTCTGTTTGCTAGTTGGCAGCACTTATACACTCACTACTTGTCTCCTTTCCCTTTGTCAGCCTCCTGTATGTCCTATGTTCCTGCCATCCTTGGCAAACAGAGTCTATTCTTAGGTCCCTGGAATCTGAATGAGAATGCTGTCACTTTAAAATCCAAAATGGCTGCTACTTGTAAAGATTCAAAATAGCTACACCCTCAGTTACTTTAAATATCCAAAATGGCTGCCACTTGTAAAGATTCAAAATGGCTGCATCCTCAGTTACTTTAAATATCCAAAATGGCTGCCACTTGTAAACAATCAAAATGGCTGCACCCTCTGGACAGAGGAAAATCCCCAGCTCAGGTTGCTATTTCCCTTCCTAGTCATAGGCCACCAGTGCAGTCCTCCCTGCAGCCCTTGGTGACCAGGGCTGATCTTTAGGTCAATTCTCAGGTCCCAACACCACTTGGAAATATTCGGCTGTTGGTCCCATCACAGTAGCTGACAGTCCACTGCTCCGTCTCTGTACTCAGTATTTTTGTTCAGGTTTTTCCACTAGTTGGTGCCTAATCCACTTCTGTATACTTCCTTTCAAAGCTCAGGGCTCCAGGATTATCTTCTATATCTCTGTCAACTGGTTTCTCTTTTCTTTGTTGAAGAGGCTCTATGTAGCTTTTCTGCCTACTCCTCCATTTTACCAGAAGAACCCTTATCAGTTTATTATTGCTTGTTCATTTTCAAATAACAAATTTTAAAGCCCAGTTTTTCCAGTTGACCTTGGCAGTAATCATGCTGGTCTGTAGAAACTACGTCTTTTGAACATCCCTTATCCCCCAACTGCTTACATTTCCTTGTACCGTACCACTGTTTAATCTGTGAACCTTTATGTCATGCTTTGGTTTCTCATTTCTGTTCATCACATAAAGGCTTTGAGCACCATTCAGCTAGTTAAAATAATAGACTATGGAAGATTTAAGAAAAAAGAACAATCTCGAATGGAAAGATAGCAGTGTTTTTAAAAAATCATTGTGATTTTAGTTAGGGGATCTTGAAAATATTTCATAAGACATTTCATATTCCATTTCTTTATTGGGAAAAGAGCAGAGTAGGTGATTTCTGAAAGTAAGAAGTTTAGTCTGTGGCCCTGAGTGCCTTTGTTGACAACCTTGAAATGATTTAATTTAGTTCTCATGGCTGTGTCTAGGTGTTCTTGAGTCTGTGTGGTATTAAGTGTCACTGGTATGATGATGAAGAGATGCACAGGTGAGACCTGGGAGGAGTTTTTGGCACGAAGCTTCATGTTCCCAGGGATGTGCTGATCCTCCCTTGTTCATCAATTCAGAAACTTCTCAACATAACATTTTAGGGCACACAATTCAATTTGTAACAGCAAGTCTGTGTTCATGGTGCTTATTCAGTCCTAGAAATTTCAGCTGGCACTCCTGACAGATACCCCTATTGAAACACAGATGTTTAATAATACAATTCCCCTGTAGTTCAGGGAAAACACACCAGTAAAATGCATTGGATTGAGAAAATCCAGAACACCAAATCAAAGTTCAGAAATTTGCATCCTAGGGAGGTAGTTGGTGTGGGGAGGTATTGTGCACATAATATATTTGAAATTGTTTTAGTTCTTTAAAAAATGGAAAATCTGTGCAAAATGAGTAAGAAAAGAGACTCATTATTTTTGTTTTTCCTCTCTAAAGTGATAATTACTTTGAAAATTTCCATAAAACAAAAAGTAAATACCAAATGTTAAGCATAAATGACTTTATCTCTCTAATCTCTAAGTCTAAAGTGATTTTCAGAACTTCCATATGAATGGTTGTCTGCTATGATGTGAAAGGCCCAGAAGCACTGTTTTTCCAGCTAAGGTAGTTCTTGTGGGTTCTCAGGGCTACAGAAGATTTGGGCCTGAATTGCTGTCTTTTTTTTTTTTTTTTTTCTTTTCCCCCATAAAGACTCGTACTCTTGGAACAAGAAAGGCTCTTAGGAATGAAAGTTCTGACAGACTTGATTTTGGAACATGCGTATCACATTTTGCCTCATGTTACTGTCCAAAGCACATGTATTCTTAGAATAGACAGACTAACAAGAAAAGATAGGAGCCTTCTTTTCATGCTATGTGTCCTTCAGTGACTGCTCGTTATTATTCTCCCTTTCCACTTAACATTTTGCACAAAAGAGGCTGAAAGTTGCGTACCTGGGGAAGTTTATAGCTCATATAACCCTTCTTCAGTTTCAGGAATGTGAGTGTAGAGGAGGCAGAAGGGTTTCAAAGCATTTTCTACCCAACAGGGTATGGCCAGATGAGATGGGTGAGGGCTGTCACCTCCAAGAAATAACTTGCTGATGCTGGAGAGGACTAATGCTCTTACCCTATTCCATTTAGGGAAACTAGAATCTGGGGTAACAGTGGGCAAATATGAATGAATGATGTTGCTTAACTATGTAATAGAGTATTTGTTATTTTAGAACAGTGGTTTACTATTAACGAAAACTGATTGTTATTATTATATACAGCACCCAATGTAAAACAAATAGAGCTATTATGATTTTCCTTGTGATACTACCTTTTTCTTAGTAACGTATTGACATGGTGAGTGAGACCACTTGATGAGAGACCACTTTATGAGCCTTCTGACCACTTTCTGTGCCAAACCCAATAAAAATTTATTTATTGATTGATAGGGTCATAAAGGTGCAAAAGGAGAAATCGGGGAACCAGGAAGACAAGGTCATAAGGTAAGAAAATGGGTATTTAGTGGGTAAACTTTGTTTAGGAGGTTATGATCACTTTCATAATAAGGAATTATAAGAAATTATAAGGAATAATAAATCATGGTATTTTTCCTTTCCTTTCCCACTGATGATTGGTAGTCTCCTGTAAAAGCATCAACATGCTAACTAAGCATATATTCTAAAGTTGTTCAATTACAAAAAACAAAGAAAGCATTGTGCATTTTTATTCTTTTTCGAGTTGCTACACTTTCAAATCAATCACACTCAGCTTTTTCCTCTGAATACCTTTGATAGTCAAACATTTTTTAGCTAGTTGCTCTACTTCACCAAATAAAATTTAATGACAAGTGTAAAATTTTATGATAAGTATTGCTGAGAATAGCAAACAGAAGTTGGTAACTACTTTATAATTTCTTATCTCAAGTTCTAAGTAGTTTATCTGTTTATTTTTGACCTCATTTAAATATAACCTAAATTTTGAGTAAGCTGGGAGTTTGTGGTAGGACTTATGTTATTATTTGGATAGAAACATAGAATCCAAGCACAATTTACCTTGAGGCTGCCATGTCTTGTATAAAGATCAGGGCTGAAATCTAAAGCAAGATCCATTAGAGTTTTTTTTTCATCCACTAGGATAAATTGACTTTGAATATCTAAGATTTTGACTGCCTACATACTAGAAATTTTGTCCCCGTTAATTTTATATTTCCTCAAATCAAACTATTCTTATTAATGAGGTCTTCTAGACATTTTTGACTACTTTCTTCTGTCCCTTTTATTAAGTACTTGGCAGAAGATAAGTCTTTTTCTCAGGAAGTCAAGAGCTACAAGCAATTGATGAATGTTTTTAGCCATTAATATCCTTCAGGTCTTTAGAATCAATCTATTGATTAACTTCAAATGATCAGGATAAATAAGCCAATTTTGTGTTCCCTATTATAGTTAAGATATCTATTTTAAAAGTCTTTTCTTTTTCTTTTTTTATTATTACTTAAAAGTTTAAAGATATTTAGTGCTTAGGCTTTGCATAGTTGAGACAATTTTTTTGTCTGGAGAACAACAGCTGAGTTCCTGATGTTAGGTTGGAGAATATAGAAAACAAAATTAAGTACTTTGGAAATTTCTCTGTGTGCTCAATTCCTTCACTGACTCTTAAAATTTATGATTTAAAAAATTCAACAAATATTTATTAATTATCTGTAATGTGTCAGGATTTATTCTAAATTTTTAAACATTTGAATTAATAGCATTACATTCACAGCAGTGAAAACAGTATGTTTAATCAAAAAGACTGCCTAAATTAACTATAGCATATGACAGAATATCATATATTCACAAAAACCAGGTTTGGGTCTCTGAGGAAGTATCACGACGGAAGTTGCTATGAGTTGAATCTGACTCAATGGCAGTGAGTTTTTTTTGGTTTTGTTTCAACAAAACATCAACACATGCTCATGAGGTAATAGCATGTGGTAAAGCAGATGTAGGGGCCCTCTGTTATTTTTGGCTGGCCTGCATTCTTTCTTCCTCCTTTGGGTGACCACTTTTCCTCTGGAGAACTTCCATTCCCTATCCTGTGTGATCTGAGGATGAAACTATCAATCAGGTCAGACGAAGCTGCCAATTAGGCACTTTTCCATGAGACTAGTGCTTTTGAGACCCATATAAATCAGGTATCTAGACTCTCAAATTTGGTTTGGTCTTTAGAGAGGGTCCTGTAAAATTTTTTGGTGTGTCAGGTAACTCGCTAACATTTTTATTGGAACTGTTGAGAATTATTTTAATTTAGTTCACTTTTTTTTGCATCATTTAAAAGTTTGAGTGGAATCGTTGGAAGCAGACACAGAAGGTAGGATGACAGTAAGTCAGGTCATTGGAGAATGAAACTTGAAAGGGCTAACAGATGTATTTAGCTGTAAACTACAAGTAGAATGTTAAAGAATTAAGAGCTGGAATTCTGAAATTTGTTTTCAGATTCACCATCTTGCCTTGAGTGTACTTTACAAATCAGTTAAGATTTTTTAAATTGTTTAGGAATATAGGAATGAATAGTCAAAAATATTTCAGTAAAGCAGTAATAAGTTGTTGGTCCTGAATCTGTCATTTAACTTTGTGTTTATTGATTAGTTGTGTGATATTCATTTACGCACAAAATATTTCAAATACATTACTTCAAGCTTTATGGAGAATCTACACCCCAAGCCATACTAACAAAAAATTACAGTGAACATATCAAACACTATTATTCATGTAGCTAGTTAAGGAAATATAAATAGCATTTGATTATACATACGTGTTGATTATTCACTCCCTGAACTAGATAATTCATTGGCCTTCCTATTAGCATCGATTCTTCCTACTGTCAGTCATATTTTCTTATGGAATATAATCTAAATATAAGATTAGAAACACCATTAAAAACTCTCATAATTCATTCAAAAATCAAGTATTAATGATTTATGTATGACCTAGTTATTTGCATTATTTGCCCCAATGTTCTATATTAATATTACTGCTAAATTTTCTGTATTTTCTTTCTTTCTTTTTTTTAAATACAAATTACAGTCTGTGAGAGAAAGAAAGTAGATAAAGTGAAATGTTTAATGAAGAACCAATAGAATTGGATTTGCTATATAATTATATACAGAATATTTAAAATAAAGAATTTTTCTTTCATTAACTTCACAATATATGATTTATATTACCATAGAAAATGAAAGCTAATAAAATCTGTTATAAGAAAAATAAAATTCTTGTCAGTGAGAAAATAACTTTTTTCAAAGTCCAGAGTACTATTTCTGTAAGGGACAGAAGTTGGACTTCTTTTTGGAATATTGTAACATTTTAAAGTATATAAGAGGTTGTAAAATTAAT